TGTAACTCATGGAATCAACTTGACAACAATGAGTTTGGTTTGGTTTGGTTATGAACACAAAGGAGACCAGCTGATTTCCTGCAGTGTTGGTCAGGTAAAGACTTCGAATCATGATTAAAGAGTTGAGACAGATGTTAGAGATTATTGGTCCAATTTCCCATTTAATCCAGGAATCCATTCTACTTGATGAAGAAAGAACTCAGGAGGTAATGACATGTGGCTATTGCAAGGACACTGTGGTCCAGGGTAAAGCACACTGGATCTAGTTATAGATCTGCTTTCCATCTTGCTTCTGTCGGTAGGTAACTCCTGTGAGCTTTACCAAGTTGTTTAGCCTCTCTGAGAACTGGTTTCCTCCTCTACCGAAGGTGGTTGCATGCTATAACTGACATAGGTATAAACCCTTAGCAAACATTAGAAGATCCATGTTCACCCTCTCCTCACTATTCTAATTCCTACTCCTCTCTCATGACTCGGCTCACGAGTGGCTGGGGTAGAAAGCTGTGTACCATCACTCACTCTACATTCACGCTGAACTGAGAGGCTTGTTTGCAAGTCTATCTCCTCACCACTCCCTGAGAGGGTCTGACTGATTGCTGTAGTCTCAGATCCTGGCACAGAGCATCGGATAGACAGTAGTGCAGTGGTTACAGGCATTAGCCTTGAAAAGCAGACCATCAGAGGTTGAATCCTGGCTCTGCCACTTACATGCTATTTTAGTTTCCTAGTGCTGCTGTAAGACACATAACATAAGCATGTGGCTTTAAAGAACTGAAATTTATTTTCTTACAGTTCTGGAGGCTAAAAGTCCAAATCAGGGTGTCGGCCATGTCAGTAGCCCAGGGCATTCCTTGGTTTGTAGATGATCCGTCTGTCTTCCCCCATGTGTGTATTTCTCTATCTATTCTGGTCTTTTTATAACTCAGAAGTATTGGGTTTTGGATCCACTCTACACTGGTATGACGTCATTAATACAAAAAAAGAGAAACCAAACAGGATTTCATCCACAGGAATTCAGCATATATTGTGGGGGGATACAATTTACTCCATAACTCTAGCTACGTGGCTTTGGGCAACATCCTTAACCTCCTGCCTGGGCCTCAGTTTCTTCAAAATTTCAAAGTAGAAATAAACCTCCTAGGTTGTAGTGAGGAGTTCAAAAGAAGCTCAGGCATTTCAGTGCTCATAGCCCAGTACCTGGCATATAGAAAGAATGCTGAGTAGTCATTTACCATTGTTAAGTTCTCTGCATGTGCCTGTTGCATAAAAGAGGTAGCTAAAGCAGCAAAATGTATTGCAAAATTCTATCACGTGATCTCCGACATCGTTTCTATCACCAAGGCCATATTTTCCAACTCCTGATTCTTCTTTGTTTCCAACTTCTGCATTCCAATCATCAGTACTTATCAATGCATCCATTTTTTTTGTATTTTTTTGTTTTATTTTATTTTTTTATTGTACTTTAGATGAAGCTTTACAGAACAAATAGTTTCTCATTAAACAGTTAGTACACATATTGTTTTATGACAATGGTTAATAACCCCATGACATGTCAACACTGTCTCTTCTCAACCTTGGGTTCCCTATTACCAGCTTTCCTGTCCCCTCCTGCCTTCTAGTCCTTGCCCCTGGACTGCTGTGCCCTTTTAGTCATGTTTTGTTTTATGGGGCTGTCTAATCTTTGGCTGAATGGTGAACCTTGGGAGTGACTTCATTACTGAGCTAAAAGGGTATCCGGGGGCCATACTCTCAGGGCTTTTCCAGTCTCTGTCAGGCCAGTAAGTCTGGTCTTTTTTTGGGAGTTAGAATTTCATTCTACATTTTTCTCCAGCTCTGTCTGGGACCCTCTGTTGTGATCCCTATCAGAGCAGTCAGTGGTGGTAGCCTGGCACCATCTAGTTGTACTGGACTCAGTCTGGTGGAGGCTGTGGTAGTTGTGGTCCATTAGGCCTTTGGACTGATCTTTCCCTTGTATTATCAATACATCTTGATTGCATGTTTGATCAACTTCAGACTGCGGAAATTGGTAAAAATCTTCCATTTCTTTATCTTTGGCCTTAGTGGTTGGTGTGTAAATTTGGATAATAGTTGTATTAACTGGTCTTCCTTGTAGGCGTATGGCTATTATCCTATCACTGACAGCATTGTACTTCAGAATAGACCTTGAAATGTTCTTTTTGACAATAAATGTGATGCCATTCCTCTTCAATTTCTCATTCCCGGTGAAACCAGACCAATGTGTCTGGGCACAGCGTCCAAGAAGCCAATCTCTCAGATGCTGTTTTGAGAGGAAGAAAGAGTTTATTTCGCAGGCTAGCAAGCGGGAACTCAGAGGTATCTACCTCTGATTGAGTTCCTTGATTTGAGGAAGCATTCACGTTTTATAATTATAGATATTCATATAGGGGTGGAGGAAGGCAGTGGGCAGGATCAGGAAGTTCTAACTATTCATAGTTTCTTCTGATTATTTATTACAAGGCAGGACCAGGACTTGGCACGGAAGCAGCTGACAGATCCTCCGCTTTTGAAATAGACTCGGCTTCTGCAGATGACCGATGTCTGGTGATTTAAGTTCCTTGACATGAGTTTTTTGGTCCCTTGACCTGAGTTTTCCCACACTATTGAGCATGCTCGGGGGGTCCGAAGTTGTCTGTCACCCTTGTCTGCTCTGCACACGTCTGACCTCCTTAACCCAGTTAGATCCAGATCTGTCAGGAACTCTCCAGTTGGCAAAACAACTTAGAAGAAGTGAGTGACATAGAGGGGAGGTGACTAGGAATAGTTTGATAACGAATGCACTACTAATTAATTAGGAGTTTATTTTTTTTTAAGGTCCCCTAACACCGGCATAGTAGACCATATGATTGTCCCATTCAAAATGGCCAATACCAGTCCATTTCAGCTCGCTCATGCATAGGATATCGATGTTTACGTGTTCCATTTCATTTTTGACAACTTCCAATTTTCCTCGATTCATACTTTGTACATTCTACGTTCTGATTATTAATGGATGTCTGCAGCTGTTTCTTCTCATTTTGAGTCATGCCACATCAGCAAATCAAAGTCCCGAAAGCTTTACTCCATCCAAGTCATTAAGGTGGACTCTACTTTGAGGAGGCAGCTCTTCCCCAGTGGTATTTTGAGTGCCTTCCAACCTGCACTGCTGCAGCAGTACACTGAGAGGGAACTGCCAGAATTCAAGTCAGATTCAGAAGAGGACAGAAAGAGGGATATCATTGCTGATGTCAGATGGATCTTGGCTGAAAGCAGAGAATACCAGAAAGACGTTTGCTTATGTTTTATTGACTATGCAAAGGCATTTGACTGTGTGGATGATAAAAAAATTATTGACAACGTTGCGAAGAACAGGAATTCCAGAATACTTCATTGTGTTCATGAAGAACCTGTATATAGACCAAGAGACAGTCCTTCAAACAGAACAAGGGGATACAGCATGGTTTAAAATTAGGAAAGTTGTGCATCAAGGTTGTATCCTTTCACCATACCTATTCAATCTGTATGCTGAGCAAATAATCCGAGAAGCTGGACTACATGAAGAAGAACACAGCATCAGGATTGGAGGAAGACTTATTAACGACCTTCAATATGCAGATGACACAACCTTGCTTGCTGAAAGTGAAGAGGACTTGAAGCACTTACTGATGAAGATCAAAGACTATAACTTTCAGTATGGATTACATCTCAACATAAACAAAATAAAAATCCTCACAACTGGACCAATAAGTAACACCATAATAAACAGAGAAAAGATTAAGGTTGTCAAGGATTTCATTTTACTTGGATTCACAATCAATGCCCATAGAAGCAACACTCAAGAAATCGAACGATATATTGCATTAGGCAAATCTGCTGCAAAAGACCTCTAAAGTGTTCAAAAGCAAAGATGTCACCTTGAGGACTAAGGTGCACCTGACCCAAGCCATGGTATTTTCAATCACCTCATATACATGCAAAAGCTGGACAATGAATAAGGAAGACCGAAGAAGAATTGATGCCTTTGAATTATGGTGCTGACGAAGAATATTGAATACACCACGGACTGCCAGAAGAACGAACAAATCTGTCTTGGAAGAAGTACAGCCAGAATGCACCTTAGAAGGGAGGATGGTGAGACTTCGTCTCACGTATTTTAGACATGTTATCAGGTGGGACCAGTCCCTGGAGAAGGACATCACCCTTGGAAAAGCAGACGGTCAGTGAAAAAGAGAAAGACCCTTAACGAGGTGGACTGACACAGTGGCTGCAACAATGGACTCAAACATAGCAAGGATTGTGAGGATGGTACAGGATCACGCAGTGGTAAATTCTATTGTACATAGGGTCCCTATAACTCAGAAACTCCTAGGCACCTTACAACAACAACAAAACTGCAAAAAGGAGCCCTGGTGGCACAATGGTTAAGGGCTCAGCTGCTACCAAAAGATTGGTAATTCAAATCCAATCAGCGGCTCCACAGGAGAAAGGGATCGCGATCTGCTCCCATAAAGTTAAAAACAAAACAAAACAAAACGAAACTATACCCTTCAGTTGATTCCAAGTTATAGCGACCCTATAGGGAAGAGTAGCACTGCCCCATAGGGTTTTCAAAGAGGGGTTGATAGATTAAAACTGCTGACCTTTTGGTTAGCAGCCAAACGCTTAACCACTGCACCACCAGGGCTCCCTGTAAAGCTGATAGCCTAGAAAACCCTATGCGGGTAGCTCTGCTCTGTTACATGTCCGAGTCAACGAAACCCAAAAACAATAACAAAGCTGTAAATAACTACAGGTCTTTTCTTAAACGGTGAACTGTTTTATCAGAAAATTTTGCTGAGCACCTGGTAACGTAACTCTTAGCTCTGGGGAGAGTAATCTCCCTCCGAAAAATTGCAGCCTGAGACAAACCCTGGTGAGGGTGAGGCTGAGCCCGGAGGGGCGGAGTCCCGGCTCCCGGGTCACGTGGGGCGCGGGGGGCGGGTCTTTGAGCGCGCTGATCACGCGGTCCGGTGTTGACACTTCCGGGTGGGACCAAAGCGAGGGCGGCGGTGTAGGGGCTGGCAGATCGTTGGCAACCATGGCGTACAGCGGCCTTACGGTGCCTCTCATCGTGATGAGCGTGTTCTGGGGCTTCGTGGGCTTCTTAGTGCCCTGGTTCATCCCTAAGGGTCCTAACCGAGGGTAAGTGCGCGAGGCCCGCTGGGGAGGGACGCGCGGGAAGGACGGGTCGGGCCCGGGCGGGGGAGGGGACGAGCCCTGCACCTCCCCGAGAACCTTTCAGGGGGTGCCCCCCAATCCGGAGTCAGGCCCCGACCCTTGTGGAGCCCACCAGACTTCCTTATGGCAGCAGCTTCTTCGTGTTCTGGGCCTTAGCGTGTGGAGAGTGACCTCGGGGGGGGTGGGGGGTGTTCCTCCTTGGAAACGAGTTTTCAGGGAATTTCTTTCTCATCACGGCCCAGTGTGAGAAGCATGCAGTCGGAAATGGGTTTATACTGACTCAAAGAGAAGTTGAGATTCGTACCTAGTCGACTTTTCTCTCCTTTAACCCTGCTCTCCTTCCAAATGTGGCTTCGTTTGCCTGAACTTTAAAGAAAAGGATCAAATAGGTAACATAAAAATCGCCCTCCCTGCATCACATATTGTCGCAGTGGCGTACAGGACAAGCTTGTTCAACAATGCTTGAGCCCAGGCCTTGCATGTAGTGGGCGATCGGAGGTAGCTGGGGCTTGATCTAAAGCGAGATTAATTACCAAAGAGCAGGAGGTATTGTTTAGAAACCCCTGCGTCACACCTTTTGGAGGGCGCTCCCGCTCTTGTATGAGGGTAACAAGTTCTTGGAATAATTCGTAAAGAAAGATTTTTTTCCAGACTTCTTTGTTAAATGCAGCTTTATCTTTTTTGTAAGTAATTTTTTTTTTTTTTTTTGTACCGTGAGATAGATCGTAATCTTCAAATGATCCTTGGTATACCCTCTTCTCGTTCCTCTTGCTTTTTAGTCTTTTTTTCTCAGCTCAAGATCATGTGGGGTGAACTTCGACTAGTCACATTTTGTTAGAAACACCATCTCTTGCTTTGTTCTTTGACATTAATTGGTGGTTTCAAGGCCCTCAATAAATATCTGTTGAATGGATAATTCTGTTGCCTTTATTAAAGAAACTGTTAAACTACTTAATGTTTTGTGATCTGATCCCTTTTGCTTTCTGGAATAAGCTTGCTTGTACCCATAACTTCTATCTAGCCTAAAAATAAATGATGAATTTTTAAAAAAGGAAAAATGATACATGTATTTCAATGGTTTGGAAGCATTAAGTCCTCCCTTCTTCACCTCCCCCCCCGCTTTAGTATTGTTATATAGGGTCATCTCTCCAACCTATCATAGTTGATGTAGAGTGCCAGGATTTTGGTTTTATTAAAACAATTTGTATTAACCAAATTTAATTGCCAAGATTTGTTTGCCTACTGGAGTAGGAAAACAGCAGAGTGCTTGTTTGTTGTCTTTACCTTCACCTCTCTCCATGCCCTACTGTCTGCCTTTCTAGCTTTCTACACAGGAAAGCCTTTATTTACATGCCGGTAGCACTGACCACTCTTCTTAAAGACTAATCCTCCCCCATCCCCCGTTGAGGCTCACCGTGCCCAATCTTGGGACTTGATGCCATTGCTGTTCTCAGGGTAATGAAACCCCACCTGTAGTACCTGGGCTGCTCAGTTTCTAGCCTGATGCAGGCATTTGACCTGCTAGTGATACATTATCCAGGTCCAATTCACAGTCTCCACCCCAATCCTTGTATTTCCTCCTCTTGGCAGGATGCAACAGGTCTTGAAACACAGTGTCTCCTAGCAGTTACTGTGTTACACTTTGAGAAACACTGCTTCTAAGTATATGATCCCTGTGACCTTGGAGAATTGAGTTAACTTTTCTATGTTCCCAATTTCTCATTGTAAAATGAGAAAATTACTACTGATTTTACTAGTTCCCCATTACCTCCTGAAAAGACTGCAGATCAAAACATTTTAAGTACATGAAGGAGTCTAACTGCTTCAGGATGGATTATGGGGGATTTTTAATATAGAGCATTTTCTGATGGCTCGGTGGTTAAGCATTTGGTTCCTAACCAAAAAGGTTGGCAGTTTGAATCTACCAGCTGCTCCTTGGAAACCCTATGGGGCAGTTCTACTCTGTCCTGTTGGGTCGCTATGAGTCAGAATCGACTCATGGGCAATGGTTTTTTTAAAAAAATTTTTTTACGGTAGGAGTGAGTGGGGGCGGGAGAAGAAGTAGAGATGAGAGTGAGTCAGTGTTACATGAGAAACTTCTTTATAAAGTAAATAGGTTTGTATTTCATTCTGTGGCTTGAATACATTTTTGGCTGTCTCACAGAGAAAGAAAAGGAATAACTAGTATTTGTTGAACATCTATTTGCCATACACTACTGCTCTTTAATTCTTAACACCTTGAGGTTGGGATGATTATCTCCAGTTTACAAAGAAGGTAGCTGAGGCTCAGCGTTGTAAGGTCACCTGTCTGGAGTCACTCCCCTAGTATTTGATTTAGCTGGAATTAAAATCCACCCCTGTCTAATGCCAAATCCCATATTTTCTAGTAGCATCTAATAATGTTGCTGCCCTTGAAAGTGTTTGTGTCCCTGGATTGAGGTGATAGGCTTTGACAGAGGTCATCTCAGTGAAGACAGGACAAATCACTCTCCTGCATTTCTTCTGTCTCTAAGGATCACATTGGTAGAGGTCACTCTCACTATGGCCTTAGCTGGAGGGACAGTGGCTCAGAAGAGAGGTCCTAGCTGGACTTCCCCATTTCAGCCTGGAAGCTGAGCAGTTATCTGCTTGATCCTGTGTGTCGCTGGGAAGTAGCCCATGCCTTTGTTCCCTGTTCTCATATCTGACTTGAGGGATTAAAAACGTCTTCATTGAGGAGCTAAGTAAAGGGAAGAAGGGAGAGAGGCAGAAGAGGACTTTGAGGTTACATCGTCTTCCCTGACAGACCTCTGCACGTCAGAAAGCTGGAAATTGGGTGCTTAGGAGGTTATCAGGACCTGGAGAGGCGGGGAGAAGGAAAAATTCCTCTTGTGAATCTATGCATAACCTAAAGCAAGTCCTTTACACCTTCATTCTTTTCTGCAACTGTAAAAGGATGGGATAAAGTCAAGACTGTGCCTGGAGTCAGCTTTCCTGACCATTTTTGTTTTTCATGTTTTCTCTCTTTTCTCTTTAGAAATCCAGAGTCTCTAAAAGCTTCAAGTTTTTTTCACAGTGGCTCCCTTACCAGCAGATGAGGGGAGAGGGCCAGGATTAGTGTTGCAGGGATTCAGTCAGCTTCTACTTTTTAATGAACTTTTCAAACATATAGAAAAGTAGAAAGAGTAGTACAAAAAGTGCTGCGTATCTCCACTTAGATTCAGTAGTTATCACATTCATAATTGCTTTATCTATGAATAAATGTACATGTGTATATATGTATCCAAAAACCAAACCCATTGCCATCTTGTTGATTTCGACTCATGGCGACCCTATAGGACAGAGTAGAGCTGCCCCATAGGGTTTCCAAGGCTGTAAATCTTTATGGAAGCAGACTGCTGTATCTTCCTCCCTCAGAATGGCTGGTGGGTTGAAACCACCTACTTTTCAGTTAGCAGCCGAGCGCTTAACCACTGTGCCACCAGGGCTCCTCGTGTTTATATATATATCTAGATACTGGATATGTAAACTGAAAGTAGTTGCTGTCAAGTCAGTCCCAACTCATGGCGACCCCATGTGTGTGAGATTAGAACTGTGATCCAAAAGGTTTTCAGTAGTTGATTTTTGGGAAGTAGATAGGCTTTTCTTCTGAGGTGCTTCTGGATGTATTCTGCAAGTGCATTAACCGTTTGTGCCAGCCAGGTTGTGTGTGTGTGTCTCGCTCTTCCCTCACTCCCTCTCTATGTAGTATATGTACAATTTTTTAAAAAATTCTGCCGAACCATTTTAAAGCAAATTGCTGTCATGACATTTCACCCCTAAATGTTTCAGCTTGGAACTCTTAAGAATGAGGACATTAGTAGCTGTTTTTTTTTTTTAAATAGTCAAAACTTCTTTTATTTTAGAACTTCTCTTAGAAATATATATTTTTTTTTATTGTTGTGCTTTAAGTGAAAGTTTACAATTCAGGTTAGTCTCTCATACAAAAATCTATACATACATTGTTATGTGACCCTAGTTGCTCTCCTATACTGTGACAGCACACTCCTATTCAAGGAGCTGATGTTTTAATGAGGGAGCGTCTGATATCAAACTATGAAGCAGGTAATATAAGGGAGCCTCATCTGTTTCAGTTCCTGAGCTAGTCCTGGAAAAGATAGGAGAGAGAGGAAAGGGGAGCAAAAGTTTGGAATTGAAAATAATAAATGTGATGTGTTTAGGGAATAGTGAGGGGACCTACCTTCTTCAGGAATGAAGGGTTGATGTTTAAAAGTAGCGGGGAGTGAGGAGGATGGGTGGGGGGAATAAATGACAAGAGTGAAGAGCTAGATGTGATTCTGTAGGTAATAGGTCATTACAACTTTTTAATTATGCAGCTGTCAGAAATTTTTTAGCATAGTCTCCTATACATGTTTATTTTTGTATTACAAATGTAATCTATAAATTATATGTTTCGATGGTTCTGCCTTCAAAATATATCCAGAATCTGACCCGTTCTCCCTTTACCTGCGCTGCTACCAGCCTGGTCCACTTGGATTATTGCAGTTCTCCCCTAACTGGGTTCCTTGTTTGTCCATCTTCCTCCAGTCCATTTCAACCCAGTAGAGAGATCCTATTAGAATATTTTTTGCATTCCTTTTCAAAATTATTATTGTGGTAACCAAAAGCTAAAAAGTTCCCTGAATACAGCCAAACACGTTGAGGGACAGAGTAGCATGGGTGGGGGTCTGGGGACCATGGTTTCAGGGGACATCTAGGTCAACTGGCATAACAAAGCTTATTAAGAAAATGTTCTGCATCCCACTTTGGTGGCGTCTGGGGTCTTAAAAGCTAGCGAGCGTCCATCTAAGATGCATCAATTGGTCCCAACCCATCTGGAGTAAAGGAGAATGAAGAACACCAAAGACACAAGGAAAGTATTACCCAAGAGACAGAAAGGGCCACATAAACCGGAGACTCTATTAGCCTGAGACCAGAAGAACTAGATGGTGCCCGGTTGCCACCAATGACTGCCCTGACAGGGAACACAACAGAGAGTGCCTGATGGAGCGGGAGAAAAGTTGGATGCAGAACTCAAATTCTAGTAAAAAGACCAGACTTAATGATTTGACTGAGACTGGAGGGACCCTGGAAGACATGGCCTGCAGACTCTCTGTTGGCCGAGAACTGAAACCATTCCCGAGGCCAACTCTTCAGACAAAGATTAGACTGGACTGTGGGACATAAAGTGATACTCATGAGGAGTGTGCGTCTTAGCTCAAGTAGATAATGTGAGACTAAATGAGCAGCTTCTGTCCGGAGGCGAGATAAGAAGGTAAAGAGGGTCGGGAGCTGGTTGAATGGACTCGGGAAATCCGGGGAGCAAAGGAGTGTGCTGTCACAGTATAGGGAGAGCAACCAGGGTCACATAGCAATGTGTGTATAAATTTTTGAGAAACTGACTTGCATTGTAAACTTTCACTTAAAGCACAATAAAAAAGATTGTTATTGTCATAAAATATATATAAAAAAGCATTTGCCATTCTAACTATTTTTAAGTGTACAATTCAGTGGCATTAATTACATTTACCATGTTATGCAACCATTACCACTGTCCATTTTCAAATGTTTTATTCCCCTGTCTAAACAAACTCAGTACCCCTTACTATTAGAACTTGAATCAGATTTTGTCAGCCCTCTCCTCTCCTCAAATTCCTGCAGATACTTTCCCTTTCCACTTAACTTAAAAGGCCGAGTGATACCTCTTTGAGCTGATCTCCTCCTAGCCTCCCCTTGCTTTGCTGCAGCCACACAGGCTCCTTTCCTGTCTTTTTACACCATGTACCCTCTGGCCTCATGCTTTTGCATTTGCTATTCCCTCACCTCCTTCTGGTCTTCGCTCACATGTCACCTCCTCAGGAAGGCCTTTACTGACTGCCCTCTTTAAAATTGCAACCCCACCCTGCAACTCCCTGTATGCCCTGACCTCCTTTCCTCTTTATTTTTCTCTGTGCATTTACCATCTGGCATCCTAAAATGTGTATATTTATAAATATGTGTGTGTGTATATATATGTATATTTATGTGGAAACCCTGGTGGCGTAGTGGTTAAGAACTACAGCTGCTAACCAAAAGGAGCAGTTCAAATCCACCAGGCGCTTCTTGGAAATCCTATGGGGCAGTTCTACTCTGTCCTGTAGGGTCACTATGAGTCAGAATTGACTCGATGGCAGCGGGTTTGGTTTTTTTGGTTTTGTTTTTTTTATGTATATATCCATTGCTGTGGAGTCAGTTTTGACTCATGGCAATCCCGTGTGTTTCAGAAGGTTTTCTTGGCTGTAATCTTTACAGAAGTAGATCGCCAGGCCTTTCTTCTATGGCGCTGCTGGGTGGATTTGAACTGCCAATCTCTCAGTAGCCCAGCACAAACCATGTATGCCATCCAAGGACTATATATATGTATATATACATACACACACGTATGTATATACACATACACACATATATACATATGGAGCCTTGGTGGCGCAGTGGTTAAGACCTACGGGTGCTAACCAAAAGTTCGGCAGTTCGATTCCACCAGCCGCTCCTTGGAGAACTAAATGGTTTTGTTGTTTTTTTTTAATATGGTGTAGTGGTTAAGAGCTATGGTTGCTAACCAAAAGGTCGACAGTTCAGATCCACCAGGCACTCTTTGGAAGCTCTATGGGGCAGTTCTGCTCTATCCTATAGGGTTGCTATGGGTCGGAATCGACTTGACGGCAGTGGGTTTTTGATATACATATATACACACACACATGTATATATTTACACACAACACACGTATATAGTTGTTGTTTGTTCACCTTGTTCCTTTTCTGTGTCTTCCACTATCATGTGAGCTTCACCAGGGCAGGGATTTTCATTGGTTTTGCTCACTACTGTAACCCCAGAGCCTGGCACATCCTAGATACTCAGTGAAAATCTGTTGAATGAATGCATGTGCCAGTAACACACACACAGAACTTCTAAAGGATGAGTTAAAAATGAATATAAGTAGGAGTGTTAATACTTGCTTCCCACAATCTGGAGCCCTGGTGGCACAGTGGTGAAGAGCTTGGCTGCTGACCAAAAGGTCAGCAGTTCGAATCTACCAGCTGCTAGTTGGAAACCCTATGGGGCAGTTCTACTCTGTCCTATAGGGTTGCTATGAGTCGGAATCGACTCAATGGCAACAGGTTTTTTGGTTTTCCCACATTCTAGGAGCTATCTTGCTCAGTCCCTGGGGTGTGGAGGCCCCTCTTTGGAAATCTTTTATATGGAGTATGGTTGGGGAGCCATGAAAAAGTCTTAAACTAGAGAGTGATGTGATGAATGTTTTAGAGAGAATGACAGGAAGGAGGTTTGGAATCTGTCAGCAGTTAGCTAGCCAGGTGAACTTGATGAATGTTGATGCTGGCAGTGGGAATGGAAAGAAGAAAGCCACATGGGGGGTATTTTAGGTTCCTAGGGTTGCTGTAACAGAACAGAGTACCACAAAGTGGGTGGCTTAACACAATAGAAATTTATTGTCTCACACTTCTGAAAGCCAGAAGTCCAGCGAATTAAGGGCGTCAGCAGGGCCATGTTCTTTCCAAAGGCTCTAGGGGAAGATCCATTCCCGTCTCTCCCAGCTTCTGGTAGTCAAAGACTTGCCTTGGCTTGCGCCTGCAGCACAGCTCCACCTCTGCATCCGTGGTTACATGGTGTTCTTCTCTCTGTGCCTGTCTCTTCTCCTTTTTTGTAAGGACACCACTCTGATTGGATTCGGATCCCCCTTCTCCAGTATGATCTTATATTAACTTAGTTGATGAGATCTTCAAAGACCCTATTGCTTAATAAAGTCACAGGAACAGAGGTTAGGACGTCAACATACCCTTTTGGAGGTTACAGTTCAATCCATAACGGGGAGAGATGTTTCAAAGAATGAATCCACAGCATTACATGATTTGAGGGTGGGTCGGATGGATGGAAATGGGAGAGCTTCTTTGGGGGAGCAGGAGATTTAGAAGGGGAGCTTTTGGGAAGAAAATATCATGAATTCAGTTTTAGAAATATTGAAATTCAGCTGATCAGAGATCCAAGTTTAACTCTTCTTTAGACAGGAATGGAGATTGCAAGAGGTCAGGGCTACAGAGTGATATTTTTAGAAGTATAATGTTACTCTATTACAGAGAATATTACCAAATAGAGTAAGTGGTTTGTCAAAACTAATTGTCACTGTGGCCTTTTCTGTTCAGTTCCAGATGATTTGGATTCCACATATCAGCTGTAGCATCAGTATACATCTCTTTAAACACAACTGTTTAATTACTTAAATTTCTACCAAGTACACCCCAGGGCACACTGCAGTACTGGGTGTTAGAACTGATTCAGATCCATATTCTTGGTGCACAATCCACGTCAGTTTGATGGCTTGGGAAGGGGACTTAAACCATTCTGCAATGTCTGCATAGTTTGTTACCTAATAATGTATGCATTTTTTTTTTTTTTTTTTTTTTAGAGTTATCATCACCATGTTGGTGACCTGTTCAGTTTGCTGCTATCTCTTGTAAGTACGGGGTCTCTTACAAGTTGTTTTTTCTCCTAAACCGATAGCAATTGTCTTAGTTATCTAATGCTGCTGTAACAGAAATACCACAAGTAGATGGCTTTAACAAAGAGAAATTTATTCTGTCACAGTCTAGGACGCTAGAAGTCTGAATTCAGGGTCCTAGCTCTCGGGGAAGGCTTTCTCTGTCAGCTCTGGGGGAAGGTCCTTGTCATCAGTCTTCCCCTGGTCTAGGATCTTCACAGCTCAGGGAACCTGGATCCAAAGGATGCACACTCCTGGCTCTTCTTGCTTTGTGGTAATGAGGTCCCCCTGTCTCTTGCTCACTTCTCTCTTTTGTATCTCAAAAGAGATTGACTCAAAACACAACCTAATCTTGTAGGTTGAGTCTTGTCTCCTTAACATAACTGCCTCTAATCCTGCCTCATTAACATCATAGAGATAGGATTTATAACACATAGGAAAATCACATCAGATGACAAAGTGGTGGACAGTCACACGATACTGGGAATCATGGCTTAGCCAAGTTGACACACATTTTTGGGGGATACAACTCAATCCACAACAGCAGTTATTCTTGGTATTTATAATGTGTGTAATTGAAAATTAAATCAGTAGAGCACAAGTTGTTGTGAAGCTTTATGCTTTTGTTTCATTGGACCAGTCCCCTCATGTAAGATCTAGAAATAATGTCCTAGATTGAAAATAGCACACTTATCCTATGTTCAGTATATTTACTTACAAGATGTACAGATGCTCTGTCCTTCTGGAAATACAAATGTAATTTATTTGGCACACATTTAAAGTTTATTGTTAGCCAGAAATTGTAATTGTACTACTTTATATTTTACCACTTGTGAAGTATTTAGGCCTACTCATTCCACTTAAATGTCTCACTATAAAGTCAGTCAAGCCATTCTTTATTATGACTTGTTTATCTGATGAACAGAAGTTGAGCTAGAATTATCATAATTCAGTAGAGTAAGAACATTTTTTTTTTAACAATTCATTGTAAGCTATATCAAAGTATGATAATAATTACCAACTATTTGGATAGATTATATAGTTTATATAAATTGTTGAATGAAAACTATTTTAGGCTATGTAAGATGATTGCTTTCCTCAACATATAATTTTGGAATACTATTTTTTTTATCCTCATGAGTACCAGAAGTGGCAGAACTGCAGTTGAACAGTTTTAAAGACTTTTCAAACTCTTATCTACATTCTCCCCTTCCCTGAAGAAGATGGAACAAGTCAAGCCCCAGAGAAAAACTGAGTATTAACCAATCCGTGGACAGGATAACTACTTCAGGGTATTCAAAGAGCCTTGGGGGTTTCTTTTCTTTTAAAATTGAGGTATAGTTCACATATCATAAAATTCATCCTTTGAGGGATTTCGTTTTAGAGTTTAGAACCAGTGATTCTCTTTTCTTAAAGAGAACTTTCTAGGTGCTGATGAAACCATAATTTAGTGCCCATATGTGATAGGAAGCAGCAGTTCTGATCCTGTGATGAAAGGCCGTGCATAGCTCTGACCCTGAATCTCTGAGTGTCCTATGTCTGGGGACATCAGCACTGAGGTCTTTCAGAGAAGTTTGTGGAAGTGAACCAAACTCCAGTACTTGGCGCGTAGATCAAAATCTGTACCTGACAAAGAGTTATTACCATGAATTTTGGCTACCTAGCCAATCATTCAATCACTTGTTTAAGTGCAACTTTAGGTATTTAAAGCTGAATCATAATACAATTTAAAAGTTTTGTAAATGATAATGATGTTGTTTGGCTGCCTCAACACTAAGGCTCAGATGGTGTAGTTTTCCAGATTTTGCTTATTTAATCTTTTTTTTCTGCATAGAGGGGTCAAAGAGGCTTTTTCAGGTGATAGCTCAGCCTCAGGATGGAAACCTGGCAAGTAGTGTATGGAGGGAGTTCTTATACTAGCTGTGTTAGCCCTGAAGAGTAAATGCGAATTAATAATTTTAGTAAAGGTGATTGAGCATTGACCTATCCTACAGAATCTTATAGAAATCCAAACAAAAGCCAAAACCAAACCTGTTGCCATTGAGTCGATTGCAACTCATGGCAGCTATATGTGTCACAGAGTAGACCTGTGCTCCATAGGGTTTTCTTGGCTTCTGATCTTTATGGAAGCAGATCACCAGGCCTTTCTTCTGCGGACCCACTAGGTGAGTTTGAACTGCCACCCAGGAACCCAAACAAGGGAGCTCTTTATCAGTCTGGGTGCCAAGGAGAAGTCCTGTGATTTCAAAGGCCTTTGTTTTTATTGCTTTGAAAATCTCTGCAGTGTTAACAGTAAGATTGGCGGCATTATCTTAAAAATGAGGAAATTATTGCACAGAGGAATGATTTGAAATTAAACCAAGATATAGCAAAAATGTTTTGTGACTTTCTGGTTCTCGATTGTGATTGAAATTGGGTTACTTTTCATGATACTCTCTTTAAAAGAAACAAAAATCTTTCTAGTCAGCCTCATTGCCTATTATTTTCATTTTGAAGTGAACGCTGAAGAATTGGACTTAGTTGGAAACTATTTCACTTTGGATCTTACTGACTGAGAACTATCCATGAGCCCTTACCTCCTGTTGTCTAGACTTGAGGCTATTTTTCCCTCTGTCCCAAAGGGCCGGTGAATGGGGTCAGTACTGTCGTCGTTATTTTAATAAAGTTAGTACATACTGTTCCAACATTAAGTGCTTCTGGAAACCATTTTATGAGGAAATGAGCTGGGTAGTATTAACTTTATAAAATTATTTTCTTTCTTTTGTTTCTTTGAGACCTGATTATATATCCTATTTAGCAAGGCATCTGCCTGAAAAATACGGTTGGTATTTAAATCCTAAATATTTTACATACCTTATTCAACAAAGGGATGGGATTCTATACTAAATTTGAAATTCAAAGAAAAGTTCACCAGAAGTTTGCTTTCTTAAAAGTACCTCTTTGGAAGTAAGGCACACCCAAAGAGATGCTGGGTTTCCTAAACAAAGTCATGTTTTAAAATACATTCCTGGACTTCTAAATTGCCTTCTGTTTGTGGCAGGTTTTTTTTTCTTTCTAGTTTGTTCTCATTTAAGGTTCATGGGGTGGAACTTGTTTGAATGCTGAATAAATCATGATCTCTGTGAGCAGAATCCAGTTTCTGTTAATAGTTCAGCAGAGAAAAGTCTGAATGTTACGAATCTGGTTCCCCTCTTTGAGGCACAAGATCACTTTTGTCTCTTAAACATACAGTCCTATTATTATTCTATACTTTCTCTTGGTCTTAGGTTAATTTTTAATATCAAATTATGTTGTACCTTACTCAGAGTCACAAAACCCGCATCTTTAGGGTAAATTAGAAATTTTGTGTTGTATGGTGAAGCTACAGTTGCTTCTGGAAAAATATGCCGTATCTTTAGTCCTTGACTACTTGTAAATCTTACCAGCAGAATGATGTAGAAGATATATTGACTGGGAGTCAGGAGAGCTTGGTTCTTCTACACTGAATAGTACTTGTCCTGATTACATTGTAGGATGGTTTTTGTGAGTTTTTAAAGAAGATGCTATGTGTGAAAGCTTGTAACAAAAAGGACAATAAAAATATCAGGTAATATTAGACTACTGTTTTTTTAATAACTTATTTTAATTGCAAGAACTGTATGTTACTTGTAAACACAGTGTGCTCACAAGGCTATTGTAGCATGTATATAAACCCAAAAAACCTACTGCTGTCGAGTCAATTCTGACTCGTAGTGACCCTATAGGACAGAGTAGAACTGCCCCATAGAGTTTCCTAGGAGCACCTGGTGGATTCAAACTGCCAGCCTTTTTGTTAGCAGCTGTAGCTCTTAACTACTACGCCACTAGGTTTTCCAGCATGTATATATTGGGCTTTATTAGAGTCCATTTCCTCTATTTATATTTATTTATTTAGAACCTACTATGTACTAGATTGAGGAGTGCTGGTAGTTCAGTGGTAGAATTCTCGCCTTCCACGTGGAAGATCCGGCTTCCATTCCCGGCTAGTGTACCTCTTGTGCAGCTACCACTCATCTGTCAGTGGAGGCTTGTGTGCTGCTATGTTGCTGAACAGGTTTCAGCAGAGCTTACAGACTAGGAAGAAAGGCCTGGCAATCTAATTCTGAAAAATAGGCCTGTGAAAACTATGGATCACAATGGTCCTATCCCGTTGTGCAAGAGGTTGCAATGAGTTAGGGGCTGACTTGACTGCAGCTAACCACAACAACATGCTCTGGATGTAGGTACTGGATCTATAGCAGTGACTGAACAAAACAGACAAGCCCCTGCCCTATTTAGTAATAGGAGACAGACAGTAAACAAATAAAAAGCCAGAGAGGCCCCTAGTCACTCCTCTCACAGCCCCCTGCACCCCACCCCCCCCCAGTTAGGTGCCCCTGTCCACTCATTCCCACGAACTTCTACTCTGTGGTTCCTGAAAGAGTCCCACTCACCCTTCCAGCCTTCTAATACTGCCCATCACATAGGGACCCGCACAGCCCACAGGAACCCTGTCCCCCTTGTCCAGGAATTTGCAGATCCGTAGCTGAACCCATCCTCACTGGCTTTTTTGGAATGTGGCTCAAGGGTTAGTTTGGGCACAGGACATGATCACCTCCCCAGAGCCAGCATGCCCCACCTTGGTTTCCAAGCAAGTAGCCACAGCTAGTTGGTTCTGGGATGCTCCTTAGTGTAGCTTTTTTTTTTTAACCTTTTGGTTTTTGGGCATTTAAAATCTATATTCTCTATACAAAAGTAGAGAAAAATAGTATAATGAACCTCTGTTTGCCTGTCGCCCACCTTCAAAACTCAGAGTCAACTTGTTTCATCCCCACACTTTGTCCCTTCACCTCGATTATTTTGAAGCAAATCCCAGACATACCAGTTCATATGTAAATATTTCAATATGGATCTTCAAAAGATATCATTCCTTTTTTGAAGCATAACCACAATACCATTATCATACACAAAATGTTAAT